CTTATTTGGAAGTTGCCCTTTCCCTTTTAAAGAGCAGACTAAATGGATAAAGTGTACTCAATTCAGCATTTCTCCACAGAAAGCTAACCCCATGTAATGAGCTAGACAAAGCACCCCACCCAAAAAACCCAAAACCAAACAAACAAAAAACCCCAAAACCCAAAAACAAAAAAACATAACAGTGGTAAGGGAGACTGGGGAAATGGAAGATGGCCAAATAAAACTAAGAGATACTAAATAACACAGCTTTAAAAGGCTTCTGCAAGAGTTCCCAACATCTTAAGTAAATACTGTGACCAGTCAATCTCCAAGAGTGGGGAGGAGGTACAGTTCATTCTTCCAAATTTACATGGTCTTCTTAGATCTTCCCAGCAATCCCACCTGCACCCCCCCCCATTCTTAGAAACACCACTCTAGCTAAAAGTTTGAATAGATGAATTCTTTTTTAATGAACTGCTATCTAAAGATAACGAAAATAAATATATTAAAATCTAGCCAAAAATTTATATAAATACATTTGGTTTGGGTCAGTTTTTTAGAGTACTTGTGCTTAAGTAATAAAAAAAGCATAAAGTTACTGAGATTCAAGAATTGTAGCAGATAACCTTTAAGAAGTCTTTTTGTCACTAGCTAAAAAAATGTCCAATTCAATGGCATGGCATGGATTCTGTAAAAACCCAATCATAAGGGTAATTCAAATGTAAAAGCAACAAATCAATTTGTCAAATTGGTGAGATTTGACAATCTAAGATACTATGAATTTCTCTAGGGTATGAAAAAATCCGTGGTAGAATATAAAGAGATGATCATCAATAGTCATACTGATACATTTGCCTGTAATTCAAAATGAACAGAAATAGGTATTCTAGTTTAATTCACCAAACAAAAACTAAATATTTCGTATTACTTATCTTTCACTTTTGTCAAATGAAAAAGCCACAGTGAAGAGACAGACACGAAAAACAATACTGGTAACAATGTAAAGTCACAAGCAACCACTGAAAACATGTAACATCCACTTACTTCTGGCTTATATCAAAGACCAGTATCTTTGTTTCATTCATTCAACAAGTATTTTTACTGAGCATCCAAGATGTGCCAAGAACTGCTCAGCACAGACTTCTTAAAAAGTACAGAACATAGTGCCTGCCCTCTAAGAGCTTACAATCTATTACTTTTGTGGAAGACAAAGCAAGTAAGAAACTATAAAAACAAGTTAATAACTAAGTGACTAAATAAGTGAACAGTTAAGGAGTTATAGACAGATTACAAATTATCAGACTTCAGTAATCTGAAGGACTGGTATATACTGGACAAAGTTACTGCTGAGGACCTCTTGGAGAAGGATGGATTAAAGTGGCAGAACTTACATAAAGTTCATGGAGGGCAGAAGGATAAGATCAATGTGAGCTCAGTCATAAACTGATATAATTACTCAAGGTAGCATGAAAATATCAGCTTGGGTTCAAAGTAAGAATGTGAACACATGCAGTCAGAATCATGCTCTGAACTGTACTATGGAAGTCCTTGAAAATTAAGCTGTGGAATTTGGATATTATCCTGCAGGCACAGAGAAACACTGGAGGTTCTACGGCAAAGAAGAAACTCTAAAAGCATTGGGGTGAGGGGGATGCCTTGAAACAAGTACTACAGCTCAAAAGTTAAGCATATATAAGGCACAGGAGGGTAATAACTGGGCTCAGATGGCAGCAGCAATATAATTAAAGTATGATGTTTAAAGTCTTGCTCAACAAAGAAATAAAAATCAAATTTATTTGTAAAGAGCAATTATTCATGTATTAGTTTATACACCAAATGCAAAAGAAAAGGAACTGAATAGTTAGAATTAGGGAGGCAATACTAAAATTATTTTCTGTTCTTTTATTTCCATACTGTCCTACAAAATCTCTTACATACATCACATACTTTTCTTATCAAATGATCAGAACTGAACCATTATCTGTTACAGCTGATAGGGATGTTAACTCTTTTATTCTTCTGTACTGATTAAAAGAAAATTAAAAAAAGAAAAATGTCCATTAGCAGGAATCTTTTGGATGTAAGTGAAGGCAAAACCATCTTTGGTAAAGATGGCAGGACTTGCATGTCCTTTGTGTAGAAAGAGCAAAGGAGTGAGATGTACAAATGGAGGAAGAGGATGACCCCATACATCATTTTACCCCAAAGCAAATATCTACTGGAAAATTTTGAGCATTACCACCAAGCAGGTAAATTGCTTTATTAACACAGTTTTCTAACCAGTAACAGACCATTACTTAACTCAGAGACCATGAAAAGGTTGTTTCAGATCTAAGATCCAATAATTTTGTAGAATTAGCACCTTTCCCACTGAAATTAATATATGATAAGAGGTAAATTTACCCTAATAATAGATAATTGAGATAAACTTGAAAGAAATACTAACCTCCATTTGATGACTTCCAAATACTTTCTACTAATATTGAATTCTATAAAGGACATTCTCCTGAATTTAAAAAAAGAACAAAGAATATACCACTTTCTTTAAATAACTGCTGCGCTCGAAAAACTATGACCTCTGGCTTCAGCAGTTTGTTATTTTTGTCTAATCTGTATATTAGTTTACGAACAAGTCTTAAAATTTCAAGCCACATTCAGTAACATTCCAAAAACTGTAATTATTTACCAGATAAGACTACTACCAATTTTAATCTTCAGCCAGTCCCAGAATAAGATCTTAATGTGAGCTAGGCGATATGTGTGAAGATTCCATAACCTTTAGCCCCAATGTCCAAAGAATGTGTGAATCATCTTTTTGAAATTGGTTGGTGAAACCCTACCAACCTCGCATCAATCGCTGTAGTGAACTATATAGGCACCCTGCTTCTGATCATTATCTTCTGACTATTTACTGTTCATTAAAACTTCTGGAGAGTGGCCAGACAGAAGAAATGATACAGAAAAAAGCAACAATTTTACTAAGAATTAACTCCTACTTTAAAAGTAGTTTTCATTGTTACAAAAATTGTTTCTAGTTTATTTAACATTTCCATGCCCTCTTAGTCTGTCATTGAAGCTAAAGTAAGAATTAGTTTTACCAAATTTAAGTCCTATTTTTGTTAGATATTAAAAGAGAAAAACAAGAGAATAATCTAAGTTTAAGGGGAAAAAAAAAGTGCATTCTCTTGGGGCCCTCAGAGCTGAAATCATTCTATGACATCCATTTCATTATCCTAACAGAAACCAATAGGAGAAACAGACTTCTAAACATCTAAGTTGTCAGGTATATTTAAGGGCACATGGCATATATTGGTCTAGGGAAAAAAGTAGAAGAAAACCACAAGACAAAATTCAGAGTATCTGAATGGATGTGTACCAATTAGTAAGTAATCCTCCTGGGAAAATGGTCACTGATACTGCTAAAGAAAGGGCCACAGTGCAAAATGTGAACAATTTTTGTGTCATGAGATACACTAGTGTACTTAAAAAAAAAAATAAAGTCTGCATTTTACTAGATATGACTAGCTGGAATCTGGGTTTTTGGTAGTGCAAAAGCACCATTACAGCAAGGGTAAGCAGGTCAATCCCTTGCAAAACTTACCTTGATTGGCCCAATGGAAACAGAAGGCCCCAGAAAAGAGAGAAGCATCTGGCAGTAGCAAATTGTTTTATTTTATCTTTCTGTGGAAAGAAACTAATTTTAAATAAGAACCAGAGCATTTAAAGAATAAATATTTTTAAAGCTCATTATCTAGTTAGAGCAGCTCTACTAAGAAAACAAGAGCTCCTTTCTGCTTAGAGATGGAAAGAAACAGAAGAGGAATCAAGGTTGTTTTTCCATCAGTAGGGAGTTTTAAAAGTTGTGCTATGCTAGAATAACAATAAATGGTTCTCTTTTAAACAACTCCTACAGACATAATCTTTTGGGCCTGGTGCCTTTGAATAGAGATTTATATATAAAAGGGGTATATTCCAAGTAAAAAAGAAAACCACTTGACAGTTAAGTCCAATCCTTAGGTTAAATGAAAAGAGAAACACAAAGAAAGCTCCGTTTCTACTACAATTTCACCAATAAATTTAACTGAACACTTTGAAGATTATCAAAGTAAAAAAGTATAATCAGCGAAAAGCATACCTAATTGACTGGTTTTCCAAAATAGTTGGTTAGCTTAAATTTTTTTATGATTTATTGAGATACTCAAATGGAAAGAACCCAGTCACCTAAGGATTTATGTATTACAGAATCTCACAAGGGACATAAAACTAGTAAGAGTAACTAACTGAACCTGTTACGTTTCTTGGATGCTTCTTTAAGAACTCAGTTCTACTGAATTCACTGAGTCAGCATTACCACCTTTTGATTCAAATCACTCCCAAAAATGTCGATTTACAATTTATGCTGGCGATGGAAGGGACAGCTCAAATGCAGGAGTGCAGAAGCAATAAGCATTAAACACAAACAAAAACATCCAACAAAATAGTGTAAGTGAAAAATGAACTCTCCATTTGGCACTGTCCTAGGAAGAATCAAGTTAGAATAGATCCCTCCCCAACTCCATCCCCACCACATGATCACACACACATAAACCCATGTAAATTACTTCAGGAATAAAAGCCATCCTAAGTCAAAGGCCTACACAACTGCTATTTCAGAGTCTATGCATTTACGGGGTCCATTGACATAAGTTATGTTGATCTATCAGATAATATTTACTCTTTAAATGTTAATTCAAATGACAGACTGGGGGGAGGGGAGTCATTAAACTAAAAAGCTTGAAGGCACAATTACTTTTAAATAAAAAAATTAGTTTTGCTGCAGTAGAAAGTAGATCTTTTACACAGAAGGCTTATTATATTCAAAATTTTGTTAGTGTCATGATTCAACATTTGACTTATTTGAAAACATTATTTTGGCATAACTAATCCTTAACAGCTTTAAGTATTGACCCAGATTTTGAAATCTTGACACGATACCACAAGCAAACATAAATAAATACAAAATAAAACAAAAACATTCTTACTTGTCCCATTGGTGGCCCTCCCATAGGGGGCATCATTTGTGGCATCATTCCGTGAGGTACAGGAGGCATATTCGCTCTCTGACCCATAGGGTGCATTCCCATTGGGGCATAATGCATTCCAGGATGCCCCATCTGAAAAATGGGGACAGTTTAAAAATTAACAATTCACAATAAATGTTTCTCAAAAATCTGATTTCTACATATCAGTTACCTGCAGTGGCAGGTGTTATTAGGCTTGTGTGATTCAATTATCGGATTAGCTTATATTTTCTTGCCTTAAAATGCACTACACCTGTATTTAAAATGAGCTTGCAACTGAGCAAATTCCAGAACAAACCGCAAAAGTTAAAAAATCATTACCGGACAACTAAGTCTTTTTTTTTTTTTTTTTTTTTTTTTTTTTTGGTGAAGCATCCTGATTGGCTTGATGAGCTCGGAAGAAACGCATGGGACAGCCGATTTAAAAACTGGTATAGTAGAAACCACAACTTTATCCTGTTTCACACAGACTTAACACTGTTAGCTTCGTTATTTTATAATGGCACTTATTCTTAAAATTATTTCCAAACTGCTTTTTAAACTTCAAAACTCTGAATTTGCCCCATTAACTCAGACCGGGTGCTGGTCTTATAAAACACAAACAGTAGGGGCAAACAACAAACAGCGAAAACATTTCACTCCTAACAAATGAATGTACTCCCTAACAGACTCTCTAACATATAAAATTACTTTGGCCCCTAAAACATTTTCAAATACTAGAGTGTGTCATTCAGACACTGTAAGTAAACAACTAATCCACCCATTTCAGTGAGCTTTTAAAAGACAACTACTTTCTTCACCTGTATGTCCATTGTTCCAGGTCTTAAAACCAGGTACTTATAACCTGCCAATTCTCCCAACAGGCCGCCTCCACTCCCTCGGTCGACACGACTACAACCCATGAAAACGGATTTTGGTTGCTTGTTTGAAGTGTCCAAAATCAAGTCTCCGCTTCCTCTTCCCGGCCAAATCGGGCCTACCTCTCCAAGACGTTCAGCCCGCCCAGGGCCCAGCACCTCCACCACGCATCTGTCTAGGCCAAGCCCACTGGGAACTTCCAGGGTCCCACAACCTTCCCTTTGTGCATCCCGCCCTCCGTTTCTCTCCCTGGGAACGTATCCCACCATCTCGAGTTCTTTCTTCGTCCACTCTCATCTTCTTCTCCTTTTGGAGAAAGCTTCCTGTCTCTCTGACTCCGTTTTTCATTGTGCCGCTTTCCCCTGCCCCACCGATCCCTTACCGAGGGCCGTCTCCTCAGGAAGCCGTCAGCAGAGACCCAAGAGCTGGAGGACAGGCTTGAGCCGGACAATCTCCGCTCCCCGTCCCCGGTACCCCGCGAGGGAGGATGGCTCTCCATTTCACTCACCATGAGGCCTCCACGCTCGGCTCCCGTCCCCGGCCTCATCGTCGGGCTCAGACTGCTCCGCCGGCGGCCACTGCCGCTACACATACCAACAAGAAGCGATCTGAGTGGCTGGCGCCCGCTAGGGCCAAAGGTTAAAGGCTGCCCGGCGCTACGGGGTGGGATCAGCGGGGCCAATAAACTGACAGGCTTTGCCGCTGTCCAATCAGAGTGCACCTCCGTCACGCAGCTCTGCGGCGATTCGCCCCCAGCCTCAGCCTCAGTCGGCGTCGCCTGCATGGAGGGGGGGGAGGGGGACGGAGGAAGTTTCTGCGCCGAACCGTCTGCCGGGAAAACTCCACCAACTTCCCCCGGGGAAGGGAAGATAATCGTGTACCAGCCTCCCGAGCTTAGACCGCCTCACCCCGTACAGGGTGGGATAGTGGGAGCCTGCCACCTTCACACCCCCGCCGGAGTTACTTACGCCCCACAAACCTGAGGCCGCCAGGGGTGGGTGGGGTGAGGTAGGGTGGGGGTGGGGCAAGCAGCTTCTAGCTTTAGAGGTGGCCCCGGCCGGGAGCGCGCGCGCGCAGTGCTCGAGGCGGAGGGCGGGGGCTGGAAAGCCAAGAGGAGGGCTCTAAAGGAGATTCGAGTTCCGTAGGCACCGGCCGGAGAGCGCGCGCTCGGGAGAAGTGGGGAGGAGGCGTGTCGAGTGGCGCGGAGGGAAGGTGTGATGGGGCGGGGAGAGCAAGGCGGCGGAGAGGTAGGGATGGGCAGTTAAGGCGAGGCCAGAGCTCCGCATGGTGAGCTGTTGCTATCTAAGGAGGCCGGGGGCGAGCGCCAACGTAGCGGGAAGACGGGAAACAGTTTCGGGAATATGAGCCCGGCGGGGCATGGTGGGCATTAGGACCGGGCGTCGAGAAGAAGCCGCTTTGGGGCTGCCGCGGCGCGCGCTTGCCAGGAGCCGACGCGGGGTGGCTGAGGTCTGGCTCGGAGGAAACACTGGAGGGAGCGGAGACGCCGCTGCCTTCGGCCTCGGCTCGCCTCTTCCCTCCTACGGTCCGGGGGTCTGATCTGGACTAGGGGCGCCCAGACGCTCGTCGGGGCCCCCGCGCATCCTGGTACTCCCCCGCCAGCCCCCGCGCGGTGGTAGAGGCCGTGGCGGAGCCCGCCGCTGATTGGCTGCCGCGGGCGTGGGGCGGGGCGCGGGGGCGACGCTGCGCCGCCCGGGACCGCGCTCTCTTTCCCGCCATGTCGTTCGTGGAGAGCGGGGGGCGCTCGGCTGCCCTGCGCCGCCGCCCTGGTACCCCGACTCCGTACGCTCAGTCGTTTTCCACCTTTGCTCAAGGGGGCAGTTGGGGTGAGGGTGAAGTCGAGGAAGAGGAATGCGACCCGGTGGCCCGCGACTTGCGGGCTGAGTTCTCGGCCGGGGCGTCGTCGGAGCCTCGGAAGAACTGGCCGCTCCCGCCTGACGGGGCCGGGTCTCCGCTGCTGCCTGATAAACGCAACGGCCTTGTCACAGCTGCTGCGGCCGGCCCGGCCCCTGCGAGGGGCTGGCCGGTCCAGGTGCTCTCACTTCTCTGTTCCCTGCTGTTCGCCGTCCTCCTCGCCTTCCTCCTCGCCATCACCTATCTGATCGTAAAAGGTACTGGAGTTCGCGCCTGGAGAAAGTCTGTGCTGAGTAAAATTGAGCTTCGAGGCGGCTCTCACCTTTGTCACTCACCTGGTCTGAGGGCGGCGAGCTGGTAGCGTTTTCACTGAGTCTTCATCTGCACCTTTCTTTGACCCCCCCCCCCCGCCCCGCTTTGTTTTCAAGGTGGAGGGTCCATGCTCAAGAGACACATTTTATTTTACTTTTTAAAGTGGAGGTATAATTGGCGTGTAACATTAATTTCAGGTGTGCAACATAGGGACTTGCTGTTTGTATACATTGCCCAATCATCATCCCAATAGTTTAACTTCCTTCAGCATACATAGTTACAAGGAAAAAGTGTAGACGACGCTTTTTTTTGTTTTGTTTTGTTTTTTTTGTTAAAGGTTTATTTATCCATGCATACAAGAGCTAGGGCGCAGGCCAGGAATGTGGGAGTGAGAGGATTCACCTGACAGTGGAGAGCAGAACAGGTAGATGTAGTGAACTACACTGCTGAGGGGAGCAGTGGGCGACTCAGGAGAGTTCTGCGCCATTTTTAAGAAAGAGTCATGATTAAGTGGTTACTCTTGAAAAAAGTTTTTTAAAGTTACTGCAATATTGGAAAACTAAGCAAAACGCAGAACTACCATCATTAAAAGGAGGTGGGGGACAGTAATTTTAAACAAGCTATCCGTATTCAAGACTTTAATCCACAAATAGTTAAGATGTGCCATCTGCCCATTTGTACATTCAGAATTCCTGAAGGACAAAATTTCCATCCCATTGCCTGTATTTGTAGATATTAGTTTTACTTCACTAAATAGAATTAAATGTTTTAACTCTACTTATTCTTTTATTCCTCATTGTTTCCAAGCCCCTAGAAGGGTGCAGGTGGCATTTAACAGCTTATCATGGCTTGATTTTCATACAGAAGACAGATTCGCACTTTAATTTTCAAGTTTTATTTCTTCAAAGTGGTATTGGGTATAAACTGGCAATCTTAAATACTTGGGTGCTTATGTTTTTCCTCCTTGATCACTCCCTTCTAGCCCTTGTTTTCACTAAGTTTATCTTGTAGATAGTTTATTTCTCTTGCTCTTTTGTATTATGCAGTCACAAAACCTGGTAAATGGCAGCCCATTGCAAGACATTTAACTTCTGATTTTGGAGAATAGAGAAAGGAACTGAACTGTAAACCTAATGTGCCCTGTAATTTGAATTATACAAAAATGTTTATTGATTCATAGATGTTTTACTGAAGGTTACACAGCTAATAAATGGAATCCGAATTTGAAACCAGTTCTTTCTGACTCCAGAACACTTTCTGTAACTCCACATTGACTTCCCAGCCTTCGAGTTACTGTTCAAATTATAAAATCATCTTTTTTACACAAGGCCCTTTGTGTATTTACAGAATTGCACACTGAGAATTTGAAGGATGAAGATGGTGTGGACACTGGGGTACTAGGTATGGAACTTAATTGTCACTTGATTTGATTTTGAGGCTACTTTTTGTTTTTCCACATCATGTTTAAACTACAAAATTTTGGATAAAACCTTAATATATTCCCCTAATTTAGCCTTATTCTTTTTCATCTGTATACTTGTATGGTAAATTTTATTAAATCTTTTTATACAGGGATGGTGTGTGTATGTATTTGTGTATAAATCACACGTACTAATAATACATTTTGAATACAAATGTATATGACTAAGACCCAGAGAATACTTAGCATTTTCTAGTTTCTTTCTGGAAGAATCTCCTTACAATTTTTTCCCCAGGAGTTAAAAACAAACAAAACTTTTCACAAACTTACAAAAGATAATGTTTTTAGCAGACCTCAGGAAAAATTTATGTTGAAATCTTTATAAGCAACTTCAAAAAAAGTAAGTATTGGGCATACTCGGTTATGAGGACTAGGAAAGAATTAACCCTGAGTTTCCATAGAATATTAGTTTACAGGTTTCTTGTGAAAAAATTTAAGGGTCATTTATCTTAACATTTGTTTCTTTTGGCTAAAATGATGTTGAAGAGTTAAGAACGTCCTGGTGTACTGTGCTCCTATTTGGGTGCTTATGTTTTTCCTCCTTGATCACTATTTGCTATAAATTTGCTATAAATTATTTGATCACTCTAAATTGGGGGGGAGGGGTAGTTCCTATCCTGCATGTCATCTCTCCCCAAATCTTAGATAACTGTTTAATCTACCTCTTTAAGGCTAATGTTCTCACAATGATCTGAAGTGTAGCATACGCTATTTTGCTGATGGAGAAACCTTTTTCTTCAAATTACAAAAAATCAGTTTGCTGATGTCCCATGAAAACTTGTGTTTGTTCTTCTTGCATGAGAAAACATACACTTTTTAGTTAACTCATTTTATCAGTATGTGTTACAATGTTTCATCTCAAACAGCCAAGTTTCTGGGACTTTTCATAGCATTTTTAGATTTGTCAACTCTTGGTGCAGTAGAAACAATCATATGAACTATTAATGAATTCTAACTTGCTGTTTAAAAAATGGCAAGATTTCACATTTATGAAATGTATGAGTAGCACTTGCCTAATGGAATGACTTGTTCAGTATCAAAAGGAATATAATGGCTTTGTCATTCACCTCTTTCTTTTCTGTAAATATTCCTGTACTGCTTGGTAGATAGTTATTACTATTATAGCAAGTAGGGACATCATTATCTAAGTCTTTGTTAATGACCTTTTACTTTCAAGATGAAGAATAATCTTAGGAGTTGAAAGAAACTACTGAATTGTGCTGGCACAATGTCCTGTTAAACAATAGTTATGCCAAAACAAAGATCCTTATTTTGAACCAATTATCCAGGGATCAAGTGAAGAATTTTTTCAACATCACTTAATAAACTAATTCCATTCATTTCCAGGGGATTAACATTAAATTCTCTCCTGTTTGGGAGAAAGATACAAATTAACCTCTTTGGAAAGTAATGTTTTGAATTGACTACTTGTTGCAGATTAAAAATCCATTTGAAACCATTGATAGTTGAAAAGTAGGTCACTTGTTCCCTTGACCTGTGACTTGGATCCACATTAACCATGAGTGTGATGGAATATTCAGCAATCAAAAAAGATAAACTCATGCCATTTGCAACATGGACGGAGTTGGAAGGGAGTAATCTCAGTGAAATAAGTCTGAAGAAAAAGAAAAGTATCGGAGGGTTTCACTTACAGAAGGAATATAGGGAAACAGAAAACAAGGGAGTCAGGAAAAAGAAAACTATCAGGCAAATTAAAAAATCTGAGACTTACAGCAGGGGGAAGGGGAGGGAAGGGCACGAGGGACTCTTGTGACAGTTCATGGGTGGTGTGGGAGTTTCATGGGATTACACCTGAGGGGAGAAATCAAATATTGTACAAAAATAAACAGTGATGTAAAATAAATAAAGTAAAAAAAAATTAACCATGAGTTGATTAACTTAGGTGTCAAAAAAGATTGTAGCCTTCACTTATCCCTGAAGAAATGCTCCTCTCCTCTCCCCTCCCTTCCCCTCCTCTCCCCTCCCCTCCCCTCCCCTCCCCTCCCCTCCCCTCCCCTCCCCTCCCCTCCCCTCCCTCCCCTCCCTCCCTCCCCTCCCTATTGATATAAAAAGGTTTTCACTTGGGGCCACCTCTGGTGGCGCAGCGGTTGAGCTGTGGGCTGTGAAGCTGCCCTCAGCCTCTGCAGCGCCGGTTTGATCCCCGGCCACCGGCAAGGGTCCCACATGGAGCGCAGACTTCCTGCCGCTCCCGCTGCTCCCCTTAGCAGTGTATTTCGTCTGTCTGCCTGTTCTGTTCCCCGCTCTGGCTCTGGTGAATTCTCTTACCCTCCCACACTTCTGACTGTACCCAGTGCTTGTATAAATAAATAAATTAGAAAAAGAAAGTTTTCACTTAAAAAATGCAGACTCTTCAATAACTATTGTTGAAGTCATTTATTGTATACAGAAAAAACAAAATGCTGCCTTTTATCATAGTCAGATGGTCATACTTTGTTTAATTACCTAATGTTAAATGAATTTTCCTTTTTAATTTCATAAATTATGTGATCTTACTAGGAAATTCCAGCAATTAAAGCAAAGGTTTCCAGTAACATACTCATACATATTTATAGATTTTTTTTTTCATGTATGTACATACATGTTGTGGTTATATATGTGGTTTTCTCTTTTGTAAAAAAAATTGGAATCGAATATTTTGCACTTTTATTGAAATGTGTTGGAGTTCATTCTGTGTTATGCATGGATCTACCTCATTCTTTTTTTGCTATGCATATTTTATATTCAAGTCTGTTTAAACAGTTTGTCTGAAGTTCTAAAACAAGACACAAAATTTTGTGCTGTCATATTTAGTCCTATTGTTTCCTTATGGCAACAATGTTTTGTGACAAATGCTTGACTAATTCCACAACGGAATTTTAATAAGAAAGCTTTTCTAGTATGGGACCATGGAGGTTTGTATTTTTTCTCTGGTCATTTCAATTTGCATATCATATGTGCAGTTACTGTCTCCACATCTTTATAAAACTTGACTCCAAGAGGTTTCAAAATTGTTGCAAAATATGAATTACCATTATTTCATCAACTTATGAAAATTGAACTGTAGAGAAGAAAGATGATGTATTTATTTAAAGACATGCCCTTTGACACAGTAGTTCTTCCTCTAGAAATTTGTTATAGATATCCTTGTATATCTGTACAGTGAAGTGTGAAAGTATGACTTTTACTTACAGCTTCATTTTTTTTTTTTTTTTTAAAGAGGCACGTATTTTATTTATTTATTTGTTTGTTTGTTTGTTTGTTTATACATGCACTGGGTACAGTCAGAAGCGCGGGAGGGTGAGAGAATTCACCAGAGCCAGAGCGGGGAGCAGAACAGGCAGAAGGACCGAAGTACACTGCTGAGGGGAGCAGCGGGCGGCAGGAGAGGTCTGCGCACCATGTGGGACCCTCCTCCGGTGGGCGGGGAGCAGCCGGGGATCTAACCGGCGCCGCAGAGGCCGCGGGCAGCTTCGCAACCCAGAGCTCAACCACTGCGCCACCAGGGAGGCCCACTTACAGCTTCATTTTTAATAGTCAAAAGTGAAAACAAATATGAAGTAGCATTGTGGCCTGTGTGTTTCAACATTGCTATGTTGGAACAGCAAAATTATGAGCATTTTTTCTGGTCATAATCCCATTTATGGAAATTAAACTGATAAAATTCATACGTATTATACATTACTTGTATGTAAGAGCTTCATATATCTATCCACATTTCCTATATATTTTGGAAAAGATTCACAACAGACTCTTAGCTGATTGCTCTTAAGTGTAGTATTGGGGAAGGATCACTCACTTTATTTTGATAAGCTTTTCTACTTTTAAAAAATGAAGTTAACTATTGGTAAAATGGGTTTACAAAATAGTTAGCAGGTTTTTGGCTTCCAGATTCTGGAAACAGTGACTTGTTCACAATTTTAGTTGTTGGGAGTAGCTGACTTCTGTGGCTTTTCTGTTTCATCATCAATTAATTGAGTAAAGAGGCATAAGCACTTCTAAACCACAATATTACATTGTCATTGTGACCTGGCATTTATCAGTGATGTGGCTGTTAATTAGTGCAAATTGAACATGTAATTAAATTGTCCAAAATCAGGCAACCATTTAGATCATGGAATAGTAGTCATTTCTGGTAGCTTTAGAATATTCTTGTATTAAATTTGACAGTTGTTTTATTAAAATAACTGAGTAGTAAAGCAGAATGAACTTTATCTCACATTTTGTTATTTTTTATCTGTTATTTTGTCTTTCTCACTTTTTTTAGATATTAAGACGTTTCACCTTTCCACAGCAATTCTCCAATTCTTTTAATTACCATCTTTGTTCTGCTATCTTTATGTATTTTTTTTAAAGATTTATTTATTTATTTATACAAGCACTGGGTACAGTCAGGAGCGCGGGAGGGTGAGAGGATTCACCAGAGACAGAGTGGGAAACAGAACGGGCAGACTGACTGAGATATACTGCTGAGGGGAGCAGCAGATGAGACAGGAGAGGTCTGCTATGCCATGTGGATTTCTCCCTGGCCGGCCAGGAATCGAACTCATGCTGCAGAGGCTACGGATTGCTTCATAGTGCGGTGCTTGACCCCTTGCGCCACCAGGGAGGCCCCCATAAGTTTTAATTGTACACTAAGTAATCTCATTTGTGTTTTGATTCCCTATCACTGATTTAGCAAAAGATAGTACAACTATCTACGCACACCCAGGTTGGGTTAAGATTCTTTATGCTGACACAGTGCCAGGGTTTTGGAATGGGAGTACAAGTTAATGCTCAAGACATTTGCTCAAATGAATTATGGCTGAAATCTCTCATTTTGGTCAGGACGACTTTTCAAATGTAGTACCTTCCAGCAATGTGACCATTTGTTGTTTCTGTGCCTAACTTTGAGCAGAGGTATCTGAAAGCTTGCCTGTAGGCCCATCTCCCAAGACTGGATACAACTGTAAACCCTCTGGTGTTGAGTAGCCCCTTCTCATGACTCTATCAGGAAGGCCCAGTGGCACTCTTCACTCATACACTCACAAGTGCAAACACACATACATAGCATGCTTTCTTCAAACCAAGGAAGCCTTTCTTACCTGTAGATAAAGACCTCATGCTTTCTCCTTGTTACTCACAAACCTTTTATCTATACCCCAGTCGCTCATTGTCTTTGCGGTTTCTCAAGAAGAGATGCTGTATTTGTTGTACTAGTTCCTTTACTTACTTTGCAACATAAGAACAAAAGAGACATTCAGGCTATTTCTCCTTTCTGCATTGTGACATCTTTCTGGGAGCAGTAAACACAAAGTCTGTTATCTCTTTAAGAGGGTGTAAGGGAAATAGAGCTATCAGAAAAAAAAAATTAGGTTACTCTTTCACAAAATGTTTTGCTACAGTTTTTCTTATGCTTCATTCCTCTTTGTCTTTAGTAGTTTTATCTGTTTCTGGGCTTTCAAGTGATTTACAAATAATCTACATATTTCTTAGCTGCTTCTTGCCAAAATAAAATGGTACTTTTTGTACAACCAGGAAATTTGGTAATTCATATTGAATTACCTATTGAATTTTATAAAACTGCAGATGAGTTATATTCTTAAGTTGAATTTCTGCTCTTTTCCACACACTAAATTATAATTCAATTAAAATATTCAAATATATAACTTCATGTGGTGCCTTAGTATTTTGCATTTCTAAATATGTCAGCTTATAGTAACCTCTGGTCTTTTACATCACCTAAAATTCAGAATATCAGAATTGCACATGGTTTTTGAACCTGAGGATGCTATTTTAAATTGCTGTGGTGTTAATAATTTAAATTGCCCCTTCCCTTTTCTTCCCATTAAGGATTCTGGACTCTACTTATATTATCTCTAACTGCTGGATTCTCCTGCTGCAGCTTTTCTTGGACAGTGACTTACTTTGATTCTTTTGAACCAGGAATGTTTCCTCCTACTCCTCTTTCACCTGCCAGGTTCAAGTAAGTATTCCTATTTATTTTTTTGCCCATCTCAAATCTATTTAAAACACTGAAAAATACTCTATGGTAGTGATACCTGATGGAAAGAATCCTAATGTTAGCACAATTAAAAGAACAAATATTATTTTAAAAAAAATACTAAAATAGAAACCTAAGACTGCTTATTTGTGAGAAATAATTTATTAAGAACCCACTCTTTAATCTGTAAAATATAAATGACAAGGTGTTCAGCTTGGCTCAGCCTTTAGATAAAAAGGGAAAAAAGAGCATTTTAAACTCCATACCTAGATAATGCAATCATCCTTTAAAAATGAAGTTCAAGAAATGATCTGAGAATTAAGAAATTTAATTGCTGTTTGTTCTTTGGGGATGTAATTTCATTTAGAACAATTTATGATGGCTGAATATCAGTAATGTGGAAGTTTTGCTACAGTCAGATAATTAGACTTAAAAGAACTTCAGTGGATTAGACTTTTCTTTGAATTGGACTTTGGGTTTAAACTGTTTGATTTTATAATTAGCAAACATTTATGGCACCTACTGTGTCTATGCCAGATTAGATTCGTTTCATTACACACATAATGGAACAATATTAAATTTCTTTGGTCTGTTTTCTCTGTTTTAAAGAGTTTCAGAAAATTGAGTAAGCATTGTTCTAATCTAGTTTGATTATGCCAGGAAACTCAGATTTTAAATTTCCAAATAAGAGCATCCAGGGTATCAGTTTATTTTATAAACTAAGGTGTGGGGCATAAAAAACAGAAAATAATTTCTGTTGGATATGTATGTTATCAGACTATTATAGTTATTTATATTATTACCAGCTCCAAAACCCTATGAACAGACAGTAGAGATCAAATAAAATCTATTTGAGGGACTCAAAATAGGAAGTTATACTGGTGGTTGTTATTAATGATCTTTGGTACTACTGGTCTTCATTACTAAACTCAAGTTCTGTCTTCTATCTTTAAAAATTTTGACTTCACTGTGTTATCCTACAATACCATCCTATAGATTACTTGGTTACCATTCAGTTGAAAAGTTAATTATACTAAATAGGTCCTGCAACCTTGATTTCAGAAAGTCCCTTGCACTTAGAGTTATGAAAACTATAACCAGTCTTAAAAGCATCAGTATTCAGTGAACTTATCAAGGTTTAGAACCACTCATTTTACTTAAAAACTTTAATGTATTTATCCCTTCATCAAATCCAGTCATTCTTTTGAATGACTTTTTGAAATATATGGGAATACTTTGTACCTCCATTAATTTTTTCCCTATTTAAGGCATTGCTAATTTATTTGATTCTTTGGTCTCCTCCTCTCCAACTTTTCACTCTTTAAAATCATCAGTGACTTCAAAGTAAAATTTACCATTTAAGTATAACATAATAAGATTTATTTATTTATTTATTATTTATTTGTATAGTCCTTATCCAAATGATGTGTACCCTATACTATAGGATATCATCTGTTTGCATCCCCAAAATAAATGATGTACTTTCGAGATGCTATGACTTTTAGCCTTGTGGTTCTCTTTTTTTTTGAAATGTCATTTTCCCTCTCAGCTTCTTTTCTACCTCACTGGCAGAACTCATAAGCCTCATAGACATTAGGGCATATTGGAGTTAAGAGGAAAGCATTTCATTGTTCTCTTAAAGATCTGAAATTCTGGGGGTATTTGTCTAATTTTTTAAATTGTCTTTGAATAGCTTATTGAACCAGAACCAATAGGGTTGTATCTCAGTAGTCAATGTGTTTATTAGTTGTCCAATTTTAATATGAGGTAGTGTCACGTTGCATATTTGTTAATAAAGCCCTGAAAATAGTTTTGAAATAAGTATATTGAATGTAAATATATATGTATATATGAATTCCTTTCAATATGTAAGTAGGGACAAGTTATTTTTTAAAAAGATTTATGCATACAAGAACTGGGGTACAGGCTGGAGTTTTTTTGGGGGGTGAGAGGATTCACCAGAGACAGTGGGGAACAGAACAGGCGGACTGGCTGAAATACACTGCTGAGGGGAGCAGTGGGCGAGACAGGAGAGGTCTGCTGTGCCTTGTGGGTTCCTTCCTGGCCGGCTGGGTATTGAACTTGTGGTGTAAAGGCTGTGGATTGCTTCATAGTGCGGTGCTTAACTCCTTGCACCACCAGGGAGACCCGGGCCAAGTTATTTTTATAGTTGATAAATCAGCTATGAAATATCTAATGGGAGTCAAACTAATTTAAATTATCTTTTTACTAGAAACAGTTTGAAAAAGGCATATAATAAATACAGTGATAGTTGACCACATATTAGCAGAAACCACAGATAAAAATGTCAAAATATAGTGATAATTGATAAAATTGAATTTTGTAGTGAAAACCCTGCCCTCTAGTGCTTGTGGAAAATAATGCAATTACTTCAGGAATTTCAGGATAAATATATTCTCTCTGTTACCAGCAGAGTGAGTGCTTGTACAGGGAAACAACTTTACCTTTGGACAGATTTGAAATCTTCAGACTTAACTTATTAGAAATGTTGATATATGTTATTAATTTGCAACATGCTTATATAAAAATATAGAACAATGTATTTTTGTATTATCTAATGTAAACAATGCCAGTATATATTTTTTTGATTCTATAAAACTAATACAAGTTCTATGTTCAAAAAATCAAAAGAAAAAAATGGAAAAAACCCATATCAAGGAAAATGCCAACATTTTAATGCCTATATCTTTCCATTCTTGGCATATTTTAAAATTGAATTGGAATTACAATATACATGTTTTGTAATCCACTTTCTAAATTGAACATTATATTGGACAGTCTTGCCCTTCATTATTTCGTTTGTGTTTTCAGTGTTGAAATACACTTTGAAGTCCATCATGTATGTCAATTTAAGGGAAATATAAATGGTAGCAAGATTCTAAGATTATTTATTAAACAGTTATTAACTAAGTAAATACTGAAGAAAGGCAAGATAATTAAGACAAAATGAAGAAACTTTTTTTTCTAAGATTAGATTGTTACTTAAAATATTTCTATCTTCATGAATGTCAAACACAAAGAAAGTAATTTAGTTTGTTAAAAATATAGTTATTTTTCTATTCTTTGCAGATTTAAACACATGGTCTTTTTTACTACTTAGTATATAAGTGAGAAATACAGTAGTATTGAGAAGATTATGTTTACTGTGGCTATCAACTAGTGTTTCCCTAGAAACATAAACTCAAGGAAATAAGAAAATACCTTTAGTGATACTTAGTAAATATTTGATTAAATATTTAATGAACTTAGCAATTTGGATAAGTCACTGGGAAAGTTGAAATAAGAAATAAAACCCTTTCCTTGTGTTCATTTACATATTTTATTTCATATTTACTTTCTATATTAGTTTGATATTATCTTAAGTCAGTTCTGGCTGTTTTAACAAATTACCATAAACTGTTTAGCTCATTAGCAGCAAAAATTTATTTCTCACAGTTCTGAAGATCAGAAGTCCAAGTTACAGGGGGTCAGCATGTCTGGGTTCTTGTGAAAGCCGTTTTCTGGGTTGCATATGGCCTCCTCTTCATTGTGTCCTCACAAAGCAGAGAGCAAAAAGCTCTACTGTGACTTTTAATAAGGTCACTGATCCCTTTTGTGAGGGCTCTACTCTCATGAGCTCATTAAAGTCTAATGACTTCCCAAATAACCAATGCTGTATTCATACTGAAAGGGTAAGGTTTTGACATATGAATTGGGACAAGGTTGGGGCAATTGTTAAAAACACCTTAGGTCCATACAGAACTTAAAAACTTTTACATAAGCACTAGACCTGTAGGGAAATTCAAGGCAATTGAAGAACTTTGCAAGATATACTCTCAGAGAGGTACACTTAATAGACTTCAGATAGTGTATTTTAAGAAAGATGGTTGTCATCTCACTGTGCAGACTTTGCTGAGTTAAAAGGTATACAATGTCACATATGCAAACTTCTTTATTAGAAAGCAAATATTTGGAGTATTTAACTCAATACTTTAAATTACTTTCTTGGTTTCTGAAAATCTGTTAGTGTTAAAAAACAAGAGGCAGTAACTTTAGATTCCTTAGAGTATTTATAAGAGGCATTCCCCCTTTAATACTTTATAATTCAGTAATCCTGTTCTTTTATATTATTTAATTGACATCTTCAGTCTAATTTGCATTAATTTTCCACATTCATTCATTGGATTTGGTCTGTGCTTTCTGAGAAGGTAAATATATGTGTAACCAATATTTTACTTTGTGATTATCTGCTTTAATTATAGCAGTTAATGCATCTAAATATGTGGCTCATCCATGCAACATACTGCATTCAGAAAGAACCTAGAGTTCAAAACAATGGGCCCTATGGTATCACCAGAACTTTTCTGCAAGTCCTGATTGGGGAGGAAATTTGGTATAGTAGATGTGCCTTGAAGCTACATTTTTCTTAATAAGTACATCCTTTTACATATTATAGGATTGCTGGGAATGCTTTTGAGGTTCCTATTAAAGATTATTATCTTTAGTTCCCTTATTAGGGAACTAAGTCACCTTCATTATTATAATTAGTCTAGGTTCTACATTTTTTTCTAGGTGAAAAAATCAAATCTCAGGAATTCAGGTGACCAGTACAAAGTCAAATAATTTACATGTAACATAGCTAGCACCTGACTCTACTATTATTATTTTTGTTTGCTGTGCTAAGTAACCCCTCTCTGTATTATGAAATGAATTAATAGGAGAAATTGAAATAACACTCGGAGCATTTGTTATGTGGCAGTTGGACCCATGCAATATTGCCAAATCCAGTCAAAATCTGTTTTTAACATCTGTCTTTGTTCTCTCCTTTGTTTTCTCTTGGGGACCAGCATTTTTTCACATTACTTGTGCACAGAGCCCCATCTAGTGGTATAGTGATGTAGCCATAGTTTTATAATTCCTGTGTTAAAAGTAAAAACCTCTAGATTAGGTCTCATATAGGGTGGAATTATTGTTTTATAGTC